TGTAATTTCCAGTATTGCTGCTCTGGAGAATCAGATGAAAATGATTGATTCTGTCATGAACTGTCAGCAGCTGACCAGTTTAAAATCCATAGAAAATGGATCAGGTGAAAGTGACCATTTGAGTAATGATTCCTCATCTGCTGTTGGTGATCTCGAAAGCCAGAGTGCAGGCAGCCCTGCAATGTCAGAATCTTCTTCCTCCATGCAAGCGTTGTCTCCTGTGAACAGTAATAGTGAAAGTTTTAGATCAAAGTCCCCAGGTCTTAGCAACCAGGGAGAACTACAGGACATACAATTAAAGACAGAAAAGCCTGATAGCCCATCACCTGCTACTGAAAATGGAGGTGCTTTAGATCTGACATCCACCAACCCGGGAAGACCAGTCATCAAAGAGGAGGCTCCTTTTAGCCTGCTGTTCCTGAACAGAGAACGTGGTAAGTTTAAAAGTACTGTTTGTAATATCTGTGGCAAGCCTTTTGCTTGTAAGAGTGCATTGGAAATTCACTACCGCAGCCATACTAAAGAACGTCCATTTGTTTGTACAGTCTGCAATCGTGGGTGTTCCACTATGGGTAATTTAAAACAGCACTTACTGACGCACAAATTAAAAGAGCTGCCTTCTCAGTTATTTGAACCCAACTTTACTCTAGGTCCCAGCCAAAGTACTCCTAGCCTGGTCACCAGCACTGCGCCTACCATGATCAAAATGGAAGTGAATGGCCACAGCAAGCCGATCTCACTGGGTGAGGTTCCCTCGCTTCCAGCTGGAATCCAGGTTCCTGCTGCACCACAGACAGTGATGAGCCCAGGCATTACTCCTATGCTGGCACCTCCGCCACGTCGGACTCCCAAGCAACACAACTGTCAATCGTGTGGGAAGACCTTCTCCTCAGCAAGTGCACTACAGATACATGAACGCACCCATACTGGTGAAAAGCCATTTGGTTGCACAATCTGTGGTAGAGCTTTTACCACAAAAGGGAATCTTAAGGTAAGAAGAAAACGCTCAAATCTCAAACAAAACTGTAAAGAACGTGGGGTCTAATAATGTATTACATCTGAATTTAGCAAGCTCTTATTTTGTTGTAGTCATCAGGGACAGGAAGAAAGAGAAGATAAAGAAAACATGTATTATATGGTGCCTTTTCATGCTCTCAACATGTTTAAAGAACCAGGACTCAATCCTGCCCTCTGACTTGTGGGTGTACATTGCTGTGTACTTTAAAATCAGTTCCAAGAGCTTGCGTATACATATGTGACCAGACACGTGCTGGGGCACATCTGAGACTCATAGAAAGCATCTGTTTTACCTTTGTGCCATACAGTGGAACAGTGTTGTGAAATAAGCTTGATATATAAAAAAGTGCAAAGAAATAAAGCACAAATCATTGCAAAGAGGCAGGAATGACACAGAATCCTGTGACAGTCATTGAGCAATTTTAATGTGTAATCTGCGTATTGTGTATGTGGTTGCCGAGGAGGATGGCAGGCAGCGATTGCTCCTAAACCCTTTCTAATTGGAAGCCCTCCCCATATATGAAAGTAATTAAAAATATGTTACAGGCATCTTTTTAGCTGTTAAGATCCAACTCTGTTACCTTCTCTTCTCTTGCTGTCATGTGGTAAGATTATAAGCAATGCTCCTCCAGTGTCCCACACCTTACTGGAATACCTCTGTTACAAAGTCTAGCTTCCAATCTGCATGTAGGGCATATGTTGCCATCCAGATTGATAAACTAGTACTCAGTGACTTAAAATGAGGTATCACGGGAGCACCATCTCTCATCTTCACATGTCAAGTAAGCATCAGGAGGTTAGAGACAGTGGGGCCATGCTTTAGAAAGTGTCCCAAAAATATTTTTAACTTATATAATGTTTGAAGAAAGAGAATAAGAACAAGTGAAGTAGCGTCTGGAGAAATATTGAGAGAGAAAGACAGGACGACGCGAAAAGTCAAGAGCAGAGGAAATAAGGGGGCTTAAGACTTCCTAATATCCTTGTAGGCCTAGTAATTCTCAAGATGGTCTTGTGTTTTTACACTTGAGAACTTCCAGTTGGTATTTGAAATTGTCTAACCTGAAGGATTCGTATTCTTTGTGGTGTAACATTAAATTTATTTTCTGCGAAAAGTAATATATGTTGATGGTTTACATTCATTTTTTTAAAAGTTGTAATATGGATTACAATTCTCATCATCCTTAAAAAAATACCACTTGGCAAAATAATAATAACCTAATTAAATGTGAACTTAAGGGTGGGTTTTTTTCCCCTCTTTGTTTTGATTGTTATACGGAATATTCAGACTACCTAGCTTACTGGAATTGGCTAATTTGTAGATGTTTCCCATTTCTATTTTTTGTACAGGTTCACATGGGAACTCATATGTGGAATAATGCCCCTGCAAGACGTGGTCGTCGACTGTCCGTGGAAAATCCAATGGCTTTGTTAGGTGGCGACGCTCTGAAGTTTTCTGAAATGTTCCAAAAGGATTTGGCAGCACGGGCAATGAATGTTGACCCAAATTTTTGGAACCAGTATGCTGCAGCTATCACTAATGGACTTGCTATGAAGAACAATGAAATTTCTGTCATACAGAACGGAGGCATTCCCCAGCTCCCAGTAAGTTTAGGTGGAAGTGCCATTCCATCTTTAAGTAACATTACCAGTGGCATGGACAAAGCTCGCACAGGCAGCAGCCCTCCCATTGTTGGTTTGGACAAAGCAAGTTCTGAAACTGGAGCCAGTCGTCCATTTACAAGATTTATTGAGGATAACAAAGAGATTGGCATAAATTAAAAGTATTCAGTATAAATAACTGTTGGACCACTGCTCAACACGACATTTGTTCTATTTCATGTACAGTTTTTGAAGTCAAGATGAGTTTCCTGACCTAAATACATAGGCTTTCTTTAAAATTTTACCCATAGCAGAAATACGTAACTTTGTGGCTGCTGAAAAGTTGTCTTGCAAGATCTGCATGGTACTACTTTCAACAGTGAGTTTGACTGTTATTGAGAACTTTAAAACCTTTTTAATTTAAGTTAACAAAAACAAAAAAAATCATTGGATAACTGCATTAGGGACAGAAAGAGGCTAGACCACGTCCACTTTGCTTCTTAAAAAATTAATATCAACAGAGAAATAGTTAGAAACTTGAACTATGTTTTTAGGAATAATCTTAAATAAGTGATTAGTACCCCAATGCTGTGTGTATTATTACAGTATCCTTGTCTGTAGTATTTATAAAGTTAAAGATTATGCGGGTAACAGACAATATACTTGGCCCAACCTTAAATGAAGCTTTTGTACTGCAAAATACATCTGGCTATGTGATTTTTTTTTTTTTTAACGCAAATTTTCTTTGACTATAAATAAGTGGTTTATTTTAATGCAGGCAAAATTGTGAAGTTTTATGGGAAAGATAGCATGCTTTTCATGTGCAAGTACCCGTCAGTAACAAACTTTTTTTTTAATTTAAATATTTGTAGCTGCTATGTGGACAGTTGTTCTATTAAATGAAAAATGTAGTGTGGATTTTAACTCAATGATGGGAAAACAAGTTACAGACAAACCTTATCACCATAAATTATTCACAACATTATAAACAGTTGTGAGTAAATATTTCATGTTATCAAAGCTGTACAATAAAAAGGTAATGTTTGTATAATGTGGTTGCAAACTCTTAATTTATACTATTGCACTTTCAGTATTTTGTATTAGGGAGGTTTGTCTATAATTTGAAACTGAACAAAGATGTAAACTATTTTATAAATAGTGCTTTGACTTAAGGAAAATGGGGAAAAACTGTTTCAGTTTCTTGTTTTGTCATAGGGTCAAAAAATGTGAGAGACCTATGTTAATTAAACAGAAAAGCCACTGAGAACTGTCAGATCCTTAAGTAAAATGGGGCTCCCATTTCCTAAATTGAAATGACTCATTCAGCATTTCTAGAAAGCCTGTTTAAAAATGTGACCATCCCCAGCAGAATTTTGATAAATTCTTCTTATGAGTGTGATATCAGTGCAAGCCTAGGATAAACTAAAGAGAACATTGTGTAGGTTTGATTTTACTGTAATCTGTTCTGTCTCTCTTACACACCCACAAGCAAGACGTTGACTGCCTAATAGCACTGGTATTGTGCACTGCATAACTGGGAACAAAATATAAAGTGTTTGGCTGTATGATCAGTCACAACTTAAAAATATCCTGAACTGATTTCCAACTCTTGCTGATTATCTTCTCAGATTACCACAAAGCACAATGTACTCTGATTATTCTAATATTTTATGTTTATTACATTGTTTAAATTACAATAAAGGGAACAGTTCCATTCTGAAGCTGGGAGGCTGGGGCTTAATCAAAACTTGAACAGTAAATGTTTTGTGTACTACCTCATTTTTGTGCATTACAAGTATGGTGGAGTCTGACACTATGAACTTCTGTCCAGCAAAATTGTTCAAGGGACATTATGGGTAGCTGGGTAACAGCACAAGGAGTTTTATGCCCCTGAAGAAAGAATCAGACAGTAAGGTCTTCTCAGTTTGAGACAAAAAAAACCAGGACAATCTCTTTCTTATACAACAAAAACCATTACTGTAAGAGGATGGACTATTTCTGCCATCATGTAATTGAATGAAAAGTGTTTTGAAGACTTATTAGCTGTTTGTTTCTGTTGGAAATGAACAATGAACTATACAGCTCTGTTTTCTACAGCGATTATTTATATATATATAGATATAGATATATCTATATATATATATATTATATATATATAATTAATTATAGAGATAGATAGATAGACAGATATACAAAACTTCCCTATAATGTAACATCTTTGACCATAGTATGTTGGTTATTTGGGGGGGTGTTTCAAAGCATTGAAAAAAAGAAAACTGAGGTGGCTTAATGTTGCTGTATTTCAGCAATTGAATGTTTTTATTTATCTGTGTCATTTTTGTGTGATCTTTTTTGTTAGTATTTGGTACCATGTAGTATTATCTCTTCTCCCTAAAGAAAGTGTATAACTTAAAAAAGAGATGTAAAGTGTTGTAAATAAGATGGTTGATGATGGTACAGTAAGACTGACCCCATTTTGTATTCAGGGTTAGGTCATTCCTCTCTGCATGGTGAAGAGAGACACTATTTTTATACTGCGATACCATGTAGGGCTAGGAGCCTCCCTGAACCAGCTGGGAATTGTTACCTAGATCCAATATTTTTTATTATTAAATCTTGTTGGCTTGACACATCTACTGATTGAAATGGATGTCTTAGTCTAGGTTACTATTTTTGTCATATGGAATTGAATAAAATGCAGGATGTAATATTGTTTCTGAATTGCGTTCCTTGATTTTTCAAATGCCAGGGTCAGATACGAGATGAAGGTTACTCACAGCAGATTGATGTTAATGACTTTTAATTGGTGCATGTGCAAGTCAGAATAAGGATGACACCTTTATATTCAAACATTATTGAATGTTTCTTAATGATCATTAGGTGCAGAAATATTAAAGCCATGGCTAACAGTAAAAAATGCAGACTGCTAAAAGCATTTTATTGCTGGAACAGGGAAAGAAGAGCTGTTTTGGAGAGGGAAATGCTGCTGTGTCAAAATGACTGCACTCAAAACACTTATCAATTGCTAGCTACATTTTAAATAAAGTTCTATATAGATCATTTGAATAAGCTACCTGTTACTAAATTTGCATCACAAGATTTGGGAATAAATGTATTAGCAGTATTTGAAATAATAAATATGTTGCTTCATCTATGTCACAGCCCTCCAGTTGGTGCTGAATGTTGCACATTTTTACGACTCTGGTTTCACAAAGCATTTAAGTACAGAAAGTATCCATTGACTTCAGTAAGACTGCACCCATTCTTAAAATTAAGCACATACATAAATATATTGCTGAATCTGTGACTAAGACTCCACAGTTGACTAACTTTAAAACTGTTAAAATTTGGTAGTGATGATTGTCCACTGCATTTTTAAAAAGTACACTAGTCAGCAACTTCCAAAATTTTTGTTCTAAAGATCCTCTATTTAATAGGACCTATACAAATAAGGTGTGCGCTCCCTCTGGTGATTACCAACAGCTGTAAACTCTCAAAATTATGACCTGTGCTGTCAATGGATGATGTGCAAACAAGGCAGAAAACTAAAAGAGCTATGTTAACTATAGTTCCATTCAACAAATAAGGGAAGATGTTTTCCAAATAAAAAAGGATAAAATCAGGAGACTAAGCATTTTCATTTTTAAACACAGAAAGACATATTTTAAGAAGGCATTAAACAATGAATAATAAAAATATATATACTCAGATATAGTTGATGCTGTCTTTCTTCTTGGCTGCTGTGCAATATATATTTTAAAATAGGACCATATAGAAATGGCACAGAGAGAACAAAGGTTGCCTGTGGATTTTTGTATTGGAAAAACACGGCAAAAGTATAACAAGAATACCAGTGAGCCTTTAAAAACAATCATTTGCACTTTTTATCCTACATTATAAAAACCATTAGCACTTCCAACAAATCAAATGACATTTTAAATTACTTTTACATGTATTTTTAAGCATCTCTTTTGTATATATTATCTCTCTTTAAGCTTAAATATAAAAGATACTCCCCTACCTTATTTGTGCTTCCTTGGCAAAGATTTTTTTCTTCTAAAGCTACAGAAGCCATTTTGGTTGCCTTATATATGTTTCTGTGCATGTACACAGTCATCTGGAGGATATTGTGGTTTTATTTTTTTCCTCTTTCTCTAATTCTGCAGAAGTCAAAAGAGTTGCCTGCTATTTACATCTGTGTGTAACACTAACATAGTGAATGGCAAAGTCATCAGTGATAAAATCAGGTATGTGCATAGCTCTAGGAGTACATTAAACAAACTTGTCATTCAGGGTTTTTCCTTTATGTGAAGGTGTGGCATTTTAGTTATTTGCAGAGGTAGAGCAGTTGCAGACATTGAAATAGGCATGAGGTCTCATTCTTAATCCACTTAAACCAGTTTTGCACCAATGTATCCCCACTGATTTCAGTGGAGTGACTCCTGACTTACATTGGTGTCTGAAAGAACAGAATTAGGCCCTTTTGTTTTATTTTAGATCTCATCAAAATGACAGCTACATATATCTTTATATATAGAAAATTTCTGGGCAACAAATTGGTGAATTTACAAAAGAGGAAAAAATTGTTTTAGTGAATCCTACCAGATTATATCAATTTAAAAGAAGTATAATTCTGGACATAAACAAGAATGGTTGTGACCTTAAATCAATATATTAACAAAATTTGAACATGATTATGATCCTATAAGTATTTGATGCTTTTTCACTCAATTGAGGAGAGAATTGCTAGATTTTGAAAATAAGACCATGAAAATGAAAGTGTTGCAACTATTACATTGGAACACAGCACGTTTTGTGAAAACTTGCTATAATGTTACTATATGGGGTAGGGATGTAAGTAACTAGTTGACTACCTGATAAGCATAGGCTTATTGGGTACTTGAGTTGACTAATCACTCCCCACTCCCACCCCCGCTGCCTCTGTATCAGAGGCAGCAAGGTGGGGGTGGAGAAGGAGACGGTGCTAGGGGGGAGTTGGCTTAAAAGCCAGTTCCCCCCAGCACCAGCTCTGTGAGGGGAGGGGTGACAGGAGAGGGAGAGGTGGCACAGTGAGGCAGTGCAGAGGGAAACCTCAGGCAAGCAGGGACCGCTTGAGTCCCCACTTGCCTTGGGTTCTCTACTTCACCTCTGTCTCTTAAATGTGGTAAGAGCCACAGGTGGCTCTTACTAAATTTAAATGGCAGAGGCACACTCAGGATAGTGAGCAACCCACCCTACTCCTTATCTAATCAAGTAGTCAATGGAAACTCCATTCAGTACTCGATTAGCTCATTAATCGAAATTTGACATCCCTAACACAGAATGATCTAGCCAATAGCCAGATACTGTCCCTTCTCAAACACCAAGGCGGTGTCTAGACTGGCCAGTTTTTTTGGAAAATCAGCCGCTTTTCCGGAAAAACTTGCCAGCTGTCTACACTGGCCGCTTGAATTTCCGCAAAAGCACCGACTTCCTACTGTCTGAAATCAGTGCTTCTTGCGGAAATACTATTCTGCTCCCATTCAGGCAAAAGTCCCTTTTGCGCAAAGCTTTTGCGCAAAAGGGCCAGTGTAGACAGCTGAGACTTGTTTTCCGCAAAAAAGCCCCGATCGCGAAAATGGCGATCGGGGCTTTTTTGTGGAAAAGCGCGTCTAGATTGGCACGAACGCTTTTCCGCAAAAAGTGCTTTTGCGGAAAAGCGTCTGTGCCAATCTAGATGCTCTGTTCCGAAAATGCTTTTAACGGAAAACGTTTCCGTTAAAAGCATTTCCAGAAAATCATGTCAATCTAGACACAACCCAAAGGTGTCAGTAGCCTTATGAAAAGAAGAAGCATATTGCAGGACTGATGTACAGTATCCTTCCTTCCTTGCATGGGGGCAATTCAGGCAGTCAGAAGTTTCCTGAGTTCTACTCCTAGGCTACGTCTACGCTGGCCACAATTTCCGGAAAAGGGATGCAAATCTGGTAAGTCAGGATAGGGAAATCCGCAGGGGATTTAAATATCCCCCGCGGATTTAAATAAACATGTCCGCCGCTTTTTTTCCGGCTTGGGGAAAAGCCGGAAAAAAAGCATCTAGACTGGCGCGATCCTCCGGAATAAAGCCTTTTTCCGGAGGATCTCTTATTCCTACTTCCCTATCCTGACTTACCTGATTTGCATCCCTTTTCCGGAAATTGTGGCCAGTGTAGACGTAGCCCTAGATAGGAGTTGCTAGGAGTCCCTACTCCGGCATATCGTATAGAGCTTTGGGCAAGTCATTTAGGATCTAACTCTGTAGGCAATTCAATACTCTTAGCTTCAATGGGGAATGATGGTCTTACTTCCTTTTTCCTGGTGTACACTACAGGATAAGTTTGAATTAAGATACGCATCTTCAGCTATGTTAATTGCGTAGCTTAAGTCGAAGTATCTTAACTCGAATTTTTGGCACAGTCCACACTTCAGGAAGTTGAAGGGAGCACACTCTCCCTTCAACTTCCTTTACACCTCAGAGAAGCAGGACTAGGAGCACCCTCTCAGTTTGAATTAGTGTGTCTTCGCTAGACCTGCTAATTCAAACCCCAGAAGATCAACTGCAGCTGCTTCAATTTTATCTGTAGTGTAGATGTGACCTTGGAGAGGCAGCCAGTAGTGGAATGAATTTCCCCATCTGTAAAATGAGGATAATAATACTTGTATACCTACCTCACAGGGGTGTTGTGAGGATTAGGTTGTCTGTACAGTGTCATGAAGATGAAAAATGTGAAATATTATTGATGATTTTAGAGAGCTTATTATTTATTTTCATTCTGATAAGGCCTAAAGGTTCCAAGCAGAATTATGCTAAATGGTGTTGTATGTGCATATAGTTAGAATGAATTATATCCAATGCCATTTTTCCACAGATGCACTCAGTCATTAAGTATCTATTTCATAATTCTAGTGGATTTCACTCAATGATTTAATTTTCCTAAACTCATTATCAATTTTAGACTATGGCAGAGCTTTATCTGGCATTTCAATTTATTTTGAGCTTACTTTGATTATCGCTTTTTAAAAAAAAACAAAAACAAATTTTTTTATGGATATTCAAAAATCAAGTTATCAGTGATACTCTACTGTACTTTTGCTATTAAGTGTATGTGTCAGTGTGTATGTAATATAGATACACACACAAAATATATATACAATCCACATGAACACATAAATGCATATGCACATGGGGGTTTTTTAAGTTTCTTGAGTTGCTTAGAATTAATTCCAAAATATGTGAATACATTTGTTCAAATCTCACCTGTTACAGATGCAACTAAAAGTATTACTAGTCCATGTCAATCTTCAGTAAAGGAAGACAAACTAGGAATCGTGACAAGAGCTAAGACATATTGTTACAAAACAATTACATTTATGTTTGCTGGTGTTCCTAAATCACAAATGTTAAAAGCTTTTACTGAGTCATAAAGGTCATAACCTAAGTTATGGTGGAACTGATTCTTATATCAGATGAGTCACTCATTATGCACAAAAGAAATGTTAAAATAAATATTTAATTATAATCATTCCAAATGTAATTTCTTGCGATCATGTGGACGTAATGCAGAAAACAATGTGCTTCCCAAATTGGCATGATATATTTAATAATTTTGTAGTAGATAAGACAGTTGCAAGTTAATGACTTTATTCAAATATGGTGCTGTCACTCACACTATCCCCTGACTCTGTTAGACCAGTTCCATTTATTTTTATTTTCATGTCCTTCTCTGACTAATTTTTTGTCCTTTTTGAGAAAACCTTCTAGGACTATATTCTACCATCTTTACTCATGTTGAGTATTGTCTTACTTTTTGTCCCATGGGACTAGTCAGGGAATAAGATACTACTCAGTGTGAGAAAAGATTGCAAAATCTGGTCTCTAGGATCTAGCAACCGACTTTCCTTGATGCCAACTTTGCTCTTTTGAAAATACTGATATTTTCCCTTGTTTGTTTCTTGTAGAGTACAAGCCAACATGTCTCTGTTTTGCTTATTACCTTGTTTGAGGAACAGCATTGCTGATTATGTCAGTAGAGCTGTTAACTGACACTTGTTCTGTAACAATAATGCTTTTCATCTGGTTTCCATAAATACACTCATAAATTAGTGGGTGTAGCTTCTGTATAGGCTAAATGAGTAACTGAACACCTGTGCTAGTATGTGCGTGCTGTTACCTTTTTTGCACATATAAGGAGGCCTGCACGAAAATGAATATATCCACAAAGAAATTTGGGTGCATTTTCAGTTGGTTTCCATAAATATATCCATATGTCTTACATAAACAATGATTTTGTTTAAAAAAAAAATTCTCAGTGAGAATCGTGGGCTATTATAGTTATCTAGAATGGGGAGAACATGATCTTACAGATTATAGCAATTCTAAAGTAAAACAGATTTTAGGTCTAAATTTTCACCTAACCCTTGTCTATTAAATAAGGTTGATACTCATGTCTAGATTTAACAGCTAGACCTTCTTTTTTATTTAGTCATTCATTCATCTACAGTCCAGTTCTACCACCCTTTTGCCAAATAGTATTTTATTCTGCAAGCAGATTATTAAAATCAATTGTACTTCTTTTAAACATGATTAAAGGGTGGCATACTTGGGCCATCACTGAGTTCAAAATATTATAGACACCCTTCAAAATGTTTCTAAATCTTCAAACAATTTTCTGTACATTTTGTGCCTTTGAGGCTTCTAGTGACATCTGTCACAACATTCTACAGCAGACTTTACATTTGGATTTGGATATCCTTATTCACTGTGGGAAACAAAATACTACAAAACACACAAATAGCCACGTTAGTCTGTAACTTAAAAAAAAATCCTTAAAAATAATGAGTGGTCCTGTAGCACCTTAAAGACTAACAAAAAAATATAGACAGTAGCATGAGCTTACTCCATTCATCTGAAGTGGGGTGTACCCAGGAAAACTCATGATACTATCTATATTTTTGTTAGTCTCTAAAGTGCCAAATACCACTTGTTTTTTTTAACACTATAAAATACAGTTAATCCAAATATAGCTCCATTGATTTCTCAGAATGAACCGTGCTACTCCCTGTGAGTAAGGCCAGTAGAATCTGGTTATGTGTATTTAAACTTGTGTGTGTATTACATGTTCTAGAGGGTTGTTTCAAAAGCAGCATTCCAGGGATGGATCGTGGCTAGCCTGCACATAACTGCAGTGGGCAGGGGAAGGAGTCTCTGTCCTGCCCTTCCCCTCCCCCCGCCAATGCACAAGTTGTTACAAGGAGGAGGGTGAACAATTATTTTCCTTAACCTCTGAGACTGGGACAAGAAGCAATGGGTATGAATTGCCACAAGGGAGGTTTAGGTTGGATATTAGGCAAAACTTCGTGTCAGGCTAGTTAAGCACCGGAATAATTGCTTAGGGAGATTGTGGAATCTCTGTCACTGGAGATTTTAAAAGCAAGTTAGACCACACCTGACAGGGATGGCATAGGTGGTGTTTCATCCTGCCATGAGTGCAGGGGATTACAGTTGATTATCTGTCGAGGTCCCTTCCAGTTCTAGTACAGGTTGGACCTCCGTCGTTCAGGACCTGACCCGTCCCAAAAGCAAGTTAGACCACACCTGACAGGGATGGCATAGGTGGTGTTTCATCCTGCCATGAGTGCAGGGGATTACAGTTGATTATCTGTCGAGGTCCCTTCCAGTTCTAGTACAGGTTGGACCTCCGTCGTTCAGGACCTGACCCGTCCCGAATGAGGGGATTTGCTGGACCAGGGGAGGTCGCTCCCAACATGGCCCATGCTGTCCTGCCATTCCCGGCTATGGCTGCAGCCTCCCCCTGCTTCTGCCTGCCTGTCTGTGGCTGCAGCTGGGGTTGGAACTTCACA